CCCAATCTCCTACTGCGGGATGGGAATAGATTATTTTAATGCATATTTTCAAGGTAAGTCGCCCTAGCACCAACTGTCAGACAAGCGTGACACGGTTTCAGCCTTTTGTAAATTATTTTTTGTTCATGTGCGGTGCAAAGCAAAACGATTAGCAAGAAGGTGTATCCCTAAGCTAGTCGATAAGTTGGGCGGCCGCAAATGATCGTGCTGTTTTTTTTTTAAGTGGATTTCAAAGAAAATATTTGCGACTAGACCACTTTTGTGTCATTTTGTAGCCCTACTTTTTACGATATTTCAGGCAACTTCACGATTCTATCCTCAGAACACGGAACTAAACGAATTTGCGATAAAGTTGTTGAAACTTTATAAGTCAGGTGTGGCACATCTCTCATTGCACTAAAGAGGCGGTATTAATACCGATGCCAATGCAACCGACGGTTGTGGGCCTGAGATATTATTGGACCTTACCCGAGTGCACGCCCTTGTGTCACGGCCTGCCAGTCTGGGCGACAAATATTAAGTGTGATATTTGCCCTCGTGCGGTCAAACATTTTTATCACACAACTGTGTTCTGTCTTCGGGCAGAGCACAACATTAAGAGGTGACAGCTGACCACGGTAGTACCTCCTACTTGGTGGACCGACAGTTGCATACTGGGCATGTACGTCCCTGGATATTTCCACCTCGGACAATTGCATTCCTTGACATTTGTGTCACTAGACAAATGCGTCGCTGGATAACTGCGTACCTCTAATAATTTTTTGAAGTTACCATTTTTTTAAAAGATTTGTGTAATATAGAAATTTGCACACCAATACCTTTAATTACTCTAAACAAGCAGAAAGGTAGTTACTATAAATAAAAAAGAGAGAAAATTTTCTTTTTTTAAATCAAGAGAAAATTAAACTAGCAGTTTCAGTTCACTCCAGCAGTGCGTACCTCAAACATCTAATAGATTCTGGATTTTAGAGATTATATTTTTATTTGGTACCCATGGATAAGTTCCGAAAATCAAACACTGGTGGAAAAACGTCCTGGGTATGAAGATAAGCTACCCCCGACAGCAAGGCCTCAAATCAGTAGGCTGTGAGGAGTTGCTATTCTTCCCAGGTCCACTCTGACCCGGGGTGGTAGCACCTGTTAGGGTCCCAGCTATGGGCAAATACTTAACCCCTAAACTGGGGTCCAAACACTATGAAAGTATAGAAAAAGTTTTTAATGCTAGCAATAAGTTTTTGTAAAAACAGAAAGAAAAAATTATTACATACTAGCAGTAGAGCCCGGCGTTGCCCGGGGATGTAACAGTAAGAGATAGATCAAGTATCGACCATCATAAAAACTGAAAAATAAAACTGACAAAGATTATTGTTTAAGGTTGATGGACACGCATGTCTTAATTAGTTTTATTTATTTTATTTTATTTTTTTTTTACGAATTGGCCAAACCCAAACTCAAACAAAAGCATCGTTATGAGTCTACCGATTGAATAGAATTTTATTATAAACAGATAGTTGCCTTGTAAATGGAATTTTTAAAGCATTCTGAATGTAAAAATAAAGAAAAAAGTGTGCAAGACGATATGAAACACTACCTGCCAAAAAAAAAGTGAAGTTTTGTTGAAATCGGTTGAAAAATGTAGGAAATCCGATCCCATATATAAACGAACACACACACACACAAACGACCAACCTGGGTTTTATAATAAATATAACTCGTTAACTCGATATTAATAAGTACAACTCGATATGAGTTGTCCCCCTTTCATTAATGCCTCTTAATTGTGTTTTAAATTGATTTCATGCAAAAACAATTGTGTTTTTGCCAATTTTTGGCGCTGTCAGAACCACCGCAAGGTAATTTTACGCAGTCCTGTGAAGTTTTGTTGAAATCGGTTGAAAAATGTAGGAAATTCGATCCAATATATAAACGTACACACACACACACACACACACACACACACATACATACACATTCTGCGTTTTATAATAAGTAAGATTACATTACCAGGAATATATATTTTTGGAAAAAAAATATTACCAGCAATAAAAATATTGTCAGCATTAAGTAACCCATTGAGGCTGATATGCTGTAAAACAAAACAAACCAAACTAGTGGAAAAAAATTGTGGGCGAGGAAAATTACAGCAACCATTATCATAAGAAAAACGCCGATGAAACAAAAAATACTTTCGATCTTGCAACACTCTTAATCTGTCAATGTATTTTAAACAAAAATAAACTCCTAATTTTTTTATTTTATTCCTTTTTAAAAAAAATTATGGTTACTAACCGTTTTCTTTTTCAAAATTTCTGGTAATTGCACTTTAAAGCTTCCAAAAATTATCAGAGGTACGCAATTATACAGGGACGCATTTGATCTAGGGATGCAAATGTTCAAGAATGAAATTGTCTGGTACGCAATTGTCCGGGAGACTAATGTTCAGTATGTAACTGTCCTAGAACACGTCTACATTATACTAAAGAGTGGAAATCGGGAGTAACAGCGATGCCAGTAAAACCGACACTTGCGTGGTTGGTCTATTTTTGTTAACTAGTCCGAGTGCACCGATGCCAGTAGAACCGAGATTTGCGTGGTTGGTCTATTTTGATTACGTGGCCCGAGTACACCGATGCCAGTAGAACCGACAATTGCGTGGTTGGTCTGTTTTGGTTGCCTGTTCCGAGTGCACAGATGACTGTAGAACCGAAACTATTTTGGTTAAGTGGTCCGAGTGCACCGATGTCAACTACCGACACTTGCGTGGTTAGTCTATTTTGCTTACCTGTTCCGATTGCACCAATGCCGGTAAAATCGACAATTGCGTGGTTGTTCTGTTTTGGTTGCCTGTTCCGACTGCACGGGTGCCAACAGAACCGACATGGTGGCTCTATTTCTTTAAGTAGTCCGTGTGCACCGATGTCAGTAGAACCGACACTTGCGTGGCTGGGCAATTTTCGTTATCCGGTCCAATTACACCGATGCAAGTAGAACCGACACTTGCGTGGCTAGGCTATTTTGGTTACCTGGTTCGAGTACACCAATGACAGTAGATGTGACACTTGCATGGGTGGGCTATTTTGTTTAACTTGTCCGAGTGCACCGATGCCAGTAGAAACAATACTTGCGTGGTTGGTCTATTTTGGTTGGCTGTTCCGACTGCACGGGTGCCAGTAGTACCGACATTTGCGTGGTTGGGGTATTTTGATTACGTGGTCGGTGCGCACCGATGTCAATAGAACCGACACTTCCGTGGCTTTGCTATTTTGTTTAACAGGTCCGAATGCACCGATGGCAGTAGAACTGACACTTGCGTGGCTGGGCAATTTTCGTTATCTGGTCCAATTACACCTGTGGACTCGCGCAGGGATTCCACCTATTTTTACGTGCGGACGCGTATTGCACCCCTTCCTTTAATTTTCGGCTAGACATAGTAGTAAACCAGCCGTCTGTTGCTGACGTGAGGAGGTTGCTGGCTGCTGCTGATTCCACCTAGAACGGAATTTGAAGTTTTCCCGCGCATTCTCTGACGTCACTGACGGACGTTGTTTTTCAAGTCAGTCGCTGCCTGGTTCCAGAACAAGAAGGTCGACTCATTTATTTCGCGCCCCCTACCCATACGCGGGCCGGAATATCTTAACTAACCAAAAACTTCCTAGTGACACCTTGGCTCATTATGCCGAATCTTTTCATGTGATTGCAACTTTCTTCGAACAACTTGTTTGAACCTTCCTCCATTTTCTACCGGAGAATGTAGAGTCTACGACACTGTCGTCATCACACTTTTAAAAAGACTAATTCATCGTCCTTCTGCGAACAACTTGTTTGAACTTTCCTCCGTTCACTATTAGGGAACGTAGAGTTTTTCGACACGGCCGATTGATGAACTTCACATACACCTTTTGAACTCTAACCTTTACGAACCAGTTTAAAAAAAAGATAACTTTACACACACATTATAAAACCTCGCAGTGAGTATTTTCCTTGTTGTGTATGCATGTACCTTTTGTATAAGAAGACACTGTTCCAGAACTTTCCTTCTGAAGAAACTTTTCCCGCCTTAGCCATTTTGATTTTCGTTTTGGCGCGGAACATTAATATTCTATTACTGACTACTTGTCACTACATTATACAATTTGCCTACTGGCTAAGAACTGTCTTTACCTTTCTGACAGTCTCCACTGTTTGAGACAAAATACTTTTTATTAAAATAAATTTTTATATTTGTTTTCCACCAGACTTGTTTTCGTCGTTTCCTCCTGGCTATCTATATTTTACTATTTTTATGCATGTGTCGAATGACCCTTTTTCATCACTAAAGATCACACATTTATTATTTTTACTTTGCTAGTGAATTCGGTAGTTGTGAGTAGTGTCTGGCACAAGGCCACCTTTTCGTAGGCCAGCACTGCATGCTACCTGGTCTGCGACAAGATTGGTGACCATCCCGACGTGATTTTGAGGAACACTTATTTCTTATACAAAAAAAAACAAAACACTGTTTATTTCAGGTCAGATCATAGCTAAACGTGCATTAAATTTGATAGCAGGAATGACGTCTGGTGAAGCCGGAGAGTTGTCGAGCATGGCCGCCGCCGTTGCTCCCTTTTCCTCCCTTTTACGAAAGGAATATTAAGAACTGGTTCCTTTAAATGGAAGCCATTTTTATCGTGAGAAAAATCTCAGACCAGAAGACGAAGTTTGGCCACGTGGTAACAGCTTTACCACCCACCATTGTGGATGAAGTGTCCGATTTCTTGGAAGCCGTCCCGGAGGTTGAACCTTACACCCAATTGAAGGAGGCTATTCTAAAGAGAATGGGCCGTACTGAAGAAGCGCTTATCTGCGAGTTATTTAGCGACTTAACTCGTGATGGTAGAACCCCTTCACAATTTCTACGTTTCATGAAGAGTCGTTTGGGTAAAAACATTATGGCCGACCCAATTTTAAAAAGCCTGTGGTTGGATCGCCTCCCCACCACCATTACCCAAATTTTATCGCCCATGTCGGAGAACACCCCACTCGACCAGTTAGCGGACGCTGCAGATCGTATTTTCTCCCAACTGGATCACCAAACGACACCAGTACTCAGTGCTGAAACATCCAGTGACCACAGGTCCTTGGAAAAAGCTGTGGAAGAACTACAGCGGCAAGTCAGAGACCTGACATTTTCTCTAAAAAACCGTGGTCGAAACCGGTTTCCTCCCCGCCGTCGTTTGAGGAGTCGACGAGTGAGAGCGACTAATCTTGCTGGTAAGGCACTTTCACAGAAGCTTAGTCGCCTTTTCTACGTGTTCGATACACGTAATAATTTACGTTTCTTTGTCGACACCGGCGCTGCCATCAGTGTGTTACCTGTTCGTGATAAAGCAAGTCTAAAACCTTATCAGCTCCGCTTACAAGCAGCGAAAGGCTCCAGCATAAACACCTACGGTACTAAGACCCTTACCTTAAATATAGGAATGCGTCGTGATTTTACTTGGAATTTCACTATTGCTGATGTTCAAATGCCAATATTAGGTGCCGACTGCATGGTTGCCAGTAGAACCGACATTTGCGTGGTTGGAGTATTTTGATTACGTGCTCAGTGTGCACCGATGTCAATAGAACCGATACTACCGTGGCTGGGCTATTTGGGGTACATGTTCCGAGTGCAACGATGCCAGTAGAACCGACACTTGCGTGGCTGTTCTATTTTGGTTAATAGGTCCGAGTGTACCGATGCCAGTAGGAGCGACATTTGCGTGGTCGGGCTGGTTTGGTTACGTGGCCCGAGTGCAGCGATGCCAGTAGAACTGACAATGGCGTGGCTCCCCCATTATGATTACCTGGCCCGAGTGCACCGATACCAGTAGAACCAACACTTGCGTGGGTGGGCTATTTTGGTTACCTGGAACGAGTGCACAGATGCCAGTAGTACCGACACTTGCGTGGTTGGTCTATTTTGGTTACCTGTTCCGATTGCACCAATGCCAGGGGAACCGACACTTCTGTGGCTGGCTTATTTTGGTTGCCTGGTCCGAGCGCAATGATGCCAGTAGAACCGACACTCACGTGGGTGGGCTATTTTGGTTACGTGGTCCGCGTACACCGATGCCAGTAGAACCGACACTTATGTGATTGTTCTATTTTGGTTATCTGCTTCGAGTGCACCGATGCCAGTCGAACCGACACATCTGTAGTTGGTCTATTTTGGTTGCTTGTTCCGATTGCACGGGTGCCAGTAGAACCGACACTTGCGTGGCTAGGATATTTTGGTTAACTGGTCCTGTCAACATGGATCGGCATCTAAATGCAATCTGCCATTGGGAAAACAACGTTTTATGATTCAATTGTGATTCTGTCTCTGACAAAACACAGCATTTAAATGAGGAATGTCGATCCAGGGATTTCAACTACACGGCAATAAGAGATGCCTGCCTCATTACACCGAAGATGGAAGGTCGATGGAATATTGACGTCGGCACGATGTTGTTCAGGTGGACCAAGCAGTTGTTGGCCTTAGCTCAGGTACACGTGGTCAGGTTCCTCACATTAAACCGGCCTTGTTCCATATCCCGTCATCGTGGGGTACAGTTAGTATCTGTTCTCGAATCTAATGATCATGATAATTTTAGCCGTTTCCTTATAAGTTAATCATTGACTGAGCAGTGAGTAATAGTCTAATTACAGTTCTCTTCACTCCCTGTCCGTTGACTATTAAAGCTCTTTCCAGTATTGATAGGTTTTTCCTTCCTAACCTTTTGTTTCAAGTAGTGTGGAATATCAACATCTTGATTGGGCAATTATTTTGGATTATGTTGCATCCTGTCAATGCTAGTCGCGAAGTAATTATAATCTGCCATCGGGCAAACTACACTTTATTTTTCAGTTTTGTTTCTATCTCTGGACGGAACACAACAGATAAATGGGTGATGCCTGGGCTAGGTAGCGTCTCTCTTATTGCTCCAAAAATGGAGGTGGAACAGTGATGTCAGTGCGGAGTTACGAAGATCGGGCAATCCTCGAAAAATGGAACACCGAACGAAACAAAAATTGGTTAACCTTGTTGGAATTTTGTAAGTCAGATAAAAATATGTTTTGTAAACATTTCCCCCCAAACAAGGCAATAAAGCCACTAAGACGATTAAACGTTACTCAGTGTGAGAGAATATGAGAAAAACAAAGTATTTTTAAGGAGAGAGAACGATAAAGTACAGGGATTAAAAAAAATCAGTTATCAAACTACTACAACTGTATAAAAATACATTCCACTCGTGGGGCTTTACAAAAACACGCTATCTGAACATGACGTGTCAATTCGCTTTGCTTATACCCATGGGCTGTAAACACCGGTTCTCATCCGATCACTGAAGTTAAGCAACGTCGGGCCTGGTTAGTATTTAGATGGTGGGAGGAAAACGGGTGTTGTATTGTAACCAACCTCCTAAAATCCAGATTAAATAATACCCAATATGTGTATAAGACGCGAAAAAGCAGTCAATCAAGTTTTAGTCATTTCTCATAAATAATATCGGGGAGGTACGGTTAATATTTGGATCGTATCATATATTTTTGTCTAAGTAACTCCACAGATTCGAGATACCTAATGTTTAAAATGATTTTTTTAAAATGAAAAATCTTTCTTGAAGCTTTTGTTTTAGTTTTAATTTCAAGCTGATAGATTATATTTAATACTTTTTCAAAATTAATTTCAATTCATTGAAAGGAGTTTTTTCGCTTCGAAATTGCTAAAATTATTGATTATAGTGCCGTTTTTATTGTCATCAGAAAGTAATTCTCTTTATTAAAAAAAATCTTCCAAAAGTAAAATATATTTTTTGAAACTCTATTTAAGGAGTAATAGTTGATTTAAAGTATAATTAATCTGAGTCGAAACAAATATTATTTACTTTAAGTTTGAAACATCGTAGGATTGCATTTTTTAACACGCAATTTTAAGCTGCTTATTTAGGCTGTTCATGTGTTGCCAGCTTGATGACTGATGTTTATCGCATGTTCTACGGGGGCTTTATCCGTAAAAAGGTAATTGAAGAATAACCTCAGCGCATTTTATATATAACTAGCAAATTCCGCCCGCTCGCCATCGCTTCACAAAGTAAGATATATTCATTATTTGAAATCTTTGAAACAAAAATTTTAAATGAACATTTCATTCTTAAATTGGCTTGTTAAGGAAAGTTTTACAAATAGATGCCAACTTGTTGAAGGTCAAGTAAAATGCATTTTTCAAACACTTTTCTGTCCTATATAAAACGATATTCCTAGATAGAACTATTTTTGATCTGAAAATCAAAATAATCCTTGAATAAAAGAACACTAATGAAGGACAGTTAATTAATGAAATATACTCTTTTTAAAATAAATATGCAAATTAGTTAAATCTGAAGAGTGATACTGCCTAGAACTAGATGATATATAATACAGATGTTGAGCATTTTCTGTGTAATTTCACGTTTATTTATCATCTCACAGTTGCATCTCGGTCTTTGGGCAGAGTGCGCTCATGGGCTTCTCTGTCAAAATACAGAGGGGCAAGTGAGGAAAATAATACTGAAGAGGTGTCCAGCCCTGGAGAACAGCTGCCCGAGGCCGCGCCCTCCCATTGCACCAGAGTCAGGGATCGGTGCTCGCACCAAGGCCAGCACACGATTGCAGGGGGTGAGGGCAATTTTTGTTCCTGTCCCGGGTGTACGCGCTCGGGCCCCTACCTAAAAATAGACCTTGTGTCATATCTCGTCCTAATGGGTGGGGGTCAGAGTAAATACTGCGTATAAATTACTATAAAGTATAGTTGTTTTTTTTATATACCCCCAGAATTAGTTGGATAATTGAGCTCCAATTTCGCATTTATTCATATGGATTCCGTAATACAGGTTTTACTTAATTAGCTATTATGATTCTCTAACTCTTCAAATGTTGAATGTATAACTAATTCTAATTTCTATTTTCCCATCTTTACACTATATTACTTTTATCTTATAAATTGTCCCTAACCAAAATTTCGAATATTCTAAAAAGAATTAAAAAATATAATTAAATAATCAAAAAATACTTTCGTCTTTCCTCTTCATAGCAGCGTAAAGATTTTGACGATAAAACCTAGTTTTTATCAAGTTTGTGGCATTTTTTCATCATAGTATGCTCGTTTTTCGGCGATTTTGTGAAGGTACCTATTGTTGTTTTAAAAAGTAGTATAGTGAGTAATACTTTTCATTTGAAGCAAGTTCGGTCCTTACAGGCCGCTTCAATCTTTTGTGGGTTTGTGTCGTTTTGATCAAACTTATTAAATATCGATAAGAAATGAGAGAAATGGAGAAAAGAGAAGAAAAAAAAACTGTAGCAAGAGAAAAAGATTAGAAGAGAAAGAAAGATATTCTACCACAAAAGACGGTAAGTAACTGAAGCCAAGAGGGCTTTGCGTTTGTTTTATGGTGACAGTTAAGTTGACGCAGCTTTTGTTAAGTCAGATGCACTGAAGCGAAAGCCTGATACCGGATGCTTCGCCATTGCCATGGATTTAAAAAGGGGATCATGGCGACGAAAGGTTGTTGAAATATACAGAAGGCCATAATGGAACGAAAAAAAAAAAAACAAGAAGAAAGCCAATAAAAATGAAGTTTTGGAACATTAGAATAAAAAGCAAAAAAAAAAAAAAATCACCCCAAAAAATCGGGGCGGGGACAAATGCCATCGTTAATCTGTGCAGAAAGTCGATGAGGGGTAAAGAAGGGATTTCGTGGCGTCAAGGGGCGAATTTCACAACAGGCGAGAGTGATTTGTCGCTGGCCATGTGCGGTGAATTTGGGAGTGAAAACGGGGAAATAATGTCACCTGACACCATCTATCGTGCCTTTTTTCTTGTTCCCGTTGCCAGGACGAACGGGATTTGAAATTTGACAGGAAGTGCCGTCACGTCAGAAATACGTCATTTCCATTTGACGTCGAATGTCAAGATAGTAATCCGTAATGAAATGCCGGCATTAAGAGATGTCGTTACGATTCATATATAATACACTTACTTGCATACTTATATAGAATTGCTTGCGCATATATATATATATATATATATATATATATATATATATATATATATATATATAAAAGCGGACTAAGTCCGACAATTATGTTAATGTATTTTTTGTTTATACGTTATTTTTATACTATTTGCATTATTCGGACTAATGTGCTCATCTATGTCGCCATATTTATTACAACGTTTCGGCCGTTGTACGCTCCGGACTTCTTCAGGTGGTTGGAATGTCGAACTGAACCCTTTATTTTGCTCACACTTGGAGTAGACTGTTCTAGTTCCACGTCCCATGTTTAATGGATGTCAGTTTTCAGTTATCTCCTGTTAATTCCCCTCTCCAAGTTCTCCACTGGCTTAACCGGGTATTGAACTCACAACTCTTTAGGTCCTGTCACTGGATCTAACCAACGCCTTTATCCACTATGCCATGTGTCCCTGAGGACAAAATAATAAACAAATTAAAAACTGTCGTCCGTTAAAATAGCAAACAATCCAAAAGTTGGACGAATAAATAACTTTATCTTCCCAGACCAAAACAAAATATTAAATAATGATGCCAGAAATATTGGGATAGAGATGGCAGATTTCTATAGAAATATTTCTGGCAGAAACGAATAAAACACCAAAAGAAAAATGGAAAATAGTAAATAGAACAAGAACTTGTAAAACCTGGGATGACCCATGCCCTTTATGCCTACACGAAAAAATACACATTATTAAGTTTCTAAATAATGAAAAATTATTAAACCATAGGCAGGAGTTAACGGTTTTTTGCTGACATCAACAAATTTTCGCATTAAATAATTACCATAAAAAAATCCCATAGTTTAATAAAAGTCTTAAAAGCTTAGCCAAATCATTAAATAGGAAAAACCCTTTCTGTAGCCGTCAAAAAACAAATTGAAATTCAGTGTAATACGGTTTGTATATAAAACACCCACTTGAATAAACAAATAAATAAAAAGATAATCAGATGGACAATAATAAAACAAAATCCTCCCGACACATAACGACTTGTAAGGCGCGCCATAAAAATATCCCTCACCGGGAACTAACTAGAGGATGACCGCCAACATTAGCCTTGAAATAGATACCCTACCCAACCTGAGGAAAACCTCTCAGAAGATGATGAATCTGTAGATAAGAATTACCTCTCTGACCACTTAACGAAGATAACTCACCTAGCCACTCCCACAATAACGAATTCTGTAAAGGACCACACCTAAAAACACACGTAAAACAAGAGATAGCTTATTCCTAAAATTTCGCTTGAAGATGACCTCAATTCAATTTAATTTTAATAATTATTTGGATGGTTTTGGCTCTCGATTTTGAAACATGAGAACTCTTATGTAGCGAAGGAATCATATTTTTAAACAAAAATATTATAATATATATATATATATATATCGATAGTTGTAATATAATGAGATATCTGTGTATTGATATACTGTTGAATTTAGCTTAAAAATAAATAATATATAACCTGTATATTGAAATGCACACACACACACTTTCTCGCACAGACACATACACACACACACACACACACACACACACACACACACACACACACACACACACACACATATATATATATATATATATATATATATATATATATATATATATATATATATACTTTAAACGCCAGGAGGCCAGTTAAATCCGATACTTTGATTTCAACCTTACGGTATCTTTAGGTGATTTTTTATCAAATGACCTCTTAACGCTTTATTTTTTAAAAATAATGATAAACGGTATATTATTATTTTCAAAAATAAGTAAATAAACGCACGACGTTGGCTGTAATAGAAAGAGAAGAAGAAGAAGAAGAAGAAGAAGAAGAAGAAGAAGAAGAAGAAGAAGAAGAAGAAGAAGGGAAGAGAAGAAAATCAAGAGTATTATAAATGTTTTGGTGGGGGTTAATTGAAATTATATATATATATATATATATATATATATATATATATATACCACAGTTACAACAAATTTAGTATTGGCGATAAGGAAATTTGGGCAATTTGCTTTTTGAAAATTTCGCACAACGCTGCAACTTGCTACAAAATATAGAAATATCGATCTGACAAGAATATCATGAGTTTTTAGGTTCATGTTTTGGTTTGGTAACAACTTGCAGTATTGTGTGAAACTACCACGAACACAACCTACGCTATGTTCAACTTTCTTATCTCTTATACTCTCTTTGTTGAAACTGATCCATACAGTGTTTTAATTCCTGATATTGAATTTTTACGATGGATTCTGGGTACTTGCCAACAGTGTTTTCATTCCAATTCCAATGGAGAACAATAACAATGTTAGATATCTATATAGAAAGTAATTACAATCAATACACAGAAGAGAATTACAGAACGT